TTCTTTATTTTTTTTAATTTGAAAAATCACTAACATAATATCTTTTATTTTTAATTAAAATAAATTTTATCAATAATTTTTTAAATGTAAGTACTTTTTTGGTATATTTGTTTTATTTTATATAATGTAAGTACTTTTTTGGTTCAAAAAATGTTTAGGGACTTTATCGTTCAAAATATGAATATTTATTGTCTTTTTTAATGCCTTTTCCATTATTAAACTACGTTAATTCGTTTTATAGGTCATAAAAATGTATATAACATGTTTTATAAAGTCCAATAAGTTGTTTAACATGTTTTGCAATGTACAATGACTTATTTGTTTCAAAAAATTATCCAAAGACTTAATTATTCCAAACACTAAAGTCAATTGAGTTTTTTAGATTTTTCCCTTTCTCTAAAATAGATAGACATAGAGAAGGTCCAAGTTTAAATAATAATTTAAAATTTGATTTTGATGTATGAAGAAGAGAAATTAGTTCTTTTTATTCATTTTCACAAATGATAATGAATTTTCATTATTTATATAATTATTTTTTTAAAATGTATTGGGATGATAATTTGACGGGTGAGCTAAATGCACCACTATATATTTGTTAAATACATAATTACTTATTAATTTTCTTCTAATGTATGTCAAAATCAAGACTCATTTTTTACATTTTCAATGCATGATTCTGACTTAATAAAGGTGTATATAAAATTACCCTAAATTTATATAATATTTTTATAATATAATGATATTGAAATTTCTAAAATAAAAAATGTATCGGAGTTAAATATAATTTTTTTTAGAAATTTTGATTTTTAATTTTCTATTTAAAAAAAAAATTATAAATATATATATATAAGATACAAGTGGACAAAATACACTTTTATTTAGTAATTTTTTCCTACACATCAAAATCAAAACTCATTTTTTATAGTTCCAATTAGGGTTGTAAACAAAGCGAACGTTCAGCGAACCGTTCGTGAACGGTTTGGCTGAAAATTCGTTTTTTTAATAAATGAATGAACATGAACAATTTTTTTTATTTGTTTAGTTAAACGAACGAACATGGACAAGAGTCTTGTTCGTTTATTTGTGTTCGTAGACGTTCGTTTATATTCGTTCGTTTATGTTCGTTTATATCTTAAATTTAATATATAATCTTTTATTTATTTACTTTGAATTCAAATAATATATATTTATATTCGTTTAGTCCGTTCGTTTACGTTAATTTAATATGTTAACGAACGAACATAAATGAACACGAACACACTTAATTTCTAAACGAACGAAGACGAACACAAAGATTTTCGTTCGTTTGTTCGGTTAAATTCAACGAACGAACACGAGCAAGTCTCTCTTCGTGTTCATTCGGTTCGTTTACGGCCCTAGTTCCAATACATAATTTAACTTAATTTTAACATAAAATATTTTTACCTTTTAAAAGTGATATTTTCCAAAATACCAAACAATAAATAGGATATGAAAATAAGCTAAATAAGTAAATTGCATTAGATATTTTAGTGGAGTTAATACCATTCAGCCCTTGCTAAGTTACAGCTATATGCCACCCTAATTAATTCATCACTTCCTTCCCAATCCCACCTTTCCCTTTCCCTTTCCCTTTCATTCCACCATCATATTCAGACGTTACAACATGATTTACATCAAACCAATATTTACTTACATTAACAATAACCTATTTCAAATTCAATAACAATAATCAATTAAATAACAAATCATCACAACTCTTACATTCTCAAAATAATAATAATAATAATACTAATATTAATACTAATTGAATCTTAGAATTGGTTATCAAAATTTTCTAAAATAAAATTGAGAAAAGGTGAAGAATTTCCGTTTGTTTTCAGCATGGGTTAGTTTCGGGAGGAACAAAGAAATCGGCGGCAAGTTTATTCCGGCAAACAGGGCAAACTGGGTTCTTGGAGAGCCATGTATCGGCGCATTGCTGATGAAACCCGTGGTTACATCCCGGAAACATCCGAGCAGGTTGTTCCGGTTCCACGTCATCCAAACATACGGCACATTCCGTTCCCAACGCCAGATCTTTTCCGGTGGTGATCGGCAGTTTCTCGAGTTGAGCGGAGGATAGGCCATTTTCGGTGGCGGGTTTGACAGGGGCATTGGTTTGATGGTGGTGGCGGGCGGCATAGCAGAGCAAGCAAATGTAGACGAGGAAGACGGCACTCATGCCGGCGCAGGGTAGAAAGAGGGCCAGGAATACGGAGAGTAGCATGGTGGTGTGCGGCGGTGGATGATGGTGATTGTTTTGGCGGGTTCTTGTGGGCGAATGGAAATGGGAAGAGGTAGGAAGGGTTTTAAAGGGGGGAGAGAGGGGTATTGTGCGCACCGAGGCCCACGGTAAGTTTCCTGGAAAACGGAGGCATTACAGTAAAGTACATCTTGGGTATGTTGCAGTACACAGCTGGGGAAGTCTTTCGAATGATTGACTCTTTTAATTTTATTTCTTTTCTGAAATATGGTAATTTTTTATATAAATATAATAAAATTTTAACTTTTTTAAAATTTTATATTCTCAATTTTTATTTTTATTTTCTGAAATTTGGGTTGTTAAAAAGCGAGTTGTACGTTAGATTTTAACAATCTATATTATATTATAAAGTATTTTATAAAAATTCTTAAAAATAATTTTTTATGCATAAAGTACTGTTTATTAATGCATGTTACTTAAAACTCAAGATTACTAGTAGATTGTGCGTAAGTACAATATATTAAAGATTTATATTTGAATTCATATAACTAACTGTAGATAAACATAATCAAATACAAGATAAATATCTCATTTTAAATATAAAATATAATTAGAATAATTATTGAATTCTAACAAAATGTTTAATTATTATCTTTATAAAATGTTATATTATTAAACTAAAAATAAATTATTTCATTATTAAACTTAAATTACATAAAAAAATAGAACTTTTAAATAGTTGATTGGATATAACATTAATATATATATTTCAAATTCTTATGATATTTTCAAATTTATATTTTATTCAAAAATAAAATCATTATTGTTTTTTTAAAAACACATAAAATAGTATTATAACACCGACAAAGACAAAAAATAAAATAGAACGTTAAAATCGAAATGTGATTTCATATGTGACAATTCCGCCAAGATCTCTTCGTTAGTTGGGGGAAGAATCCGCCCGAATCGGATTTTTTGAGGAACGTATCGAGAGAGAATTTGATTTGGTTAGACTCGTTGTATTGCGTAAGTACCCTTCTAGTATTATTTAAAGTATCGTTTCAATAAGCATCTTAAAAGGTGGGTTTTCGCTTTTATTTTCTTCCTATTATGCTATTATACTTTTTTTTTAAAAGTCATTTATCATATGCTTACTGTGATCATTACCTTATAATGAAAATAATAAAAATAATAAAAATCAAAAATTTTACCTAATAAAATGTATAATCAAAATCATTATTGTTTTCATTAGCATATGCAATTGCATAGCATGTAGCAATTTTTCTTGTACATACATTATTCTTTCGTGTCATATTTTATTTTAACATAAATTCTGTACGGAAATTAAATAAAATAAAAATGTTATGATGTGCGCACTTAATAGAGTGGAGTGGAGTGGAGTGCATATAATAATAGAGAGAGAGCTCTAAGGAGACGCAATCAGAAAGAGGAAGAAGATGACGTGTAACGTGAGGTACAAGAAACCCTAGGAAAACGGCCGCTTGACGGCTCATGGCATTTAAAACCTAACGGCGCTGACTTCCTCCGTTAAAGCGCCACATGGCAGCTTTATTCACCAGCTGCACCATTTGTTTTATTTTTAGTTGTTGTATGGTACGCGCCGCTCATTGGAATTGCTTTTTCCAATATTCCCACTTTACCTTCAAACAAATATTCATTTCTTACTTTTCTCTTCTTTTTTTTAAATTCTACTTTTTTATTATTGTTGTAAAATCAACATATTATGTATTTTGACAAAGTCATCACGTCCAATGTTCTATTTTGATTGTCATTGTTATGAATTTTCGTTATAAATGTATTGCAATTTGGCGTTGTAAACATTTTGTAATATGTAGATTAACTAAAAATAAATAAATTATTATACGACATTTTAATAGGTTAAATTATGAGGTTTTTACAAAGAATCAATCTGATGAATATTTGATAATCATTGGTAGTAGACAAATTGACACGTTTAATTTTGGAATAATTCTAAAAAGGAAATATTTGCTTTTTAAATAACAAATAAAAATGATGAATTTTTTTAGTCGACAATTATAATTATTTCTTTGGCCCGCTATAAATACGATGTTTTGTTTTTTATTGGCAAATGTGTCTTTCATGAACCAGTTTTTGACTTTTTGTCAATTATGAGAAATTTTAGCTTATAATTCGTTTTAATGTGAGTTTGCTAAAAACACATTTAAAATGAATTTTATGTCACAAAAAAACTAATGTTGCAAAACCTTTGAGTTATTCACACTACAACCATATTATATATATATATAGATATATATATATATATAATAAAATATTTGATAAAATCTTTTAAAAACAACTTATTAAATATGATCCATCGGTTTTATTAATGCAAATAAGTTACACTAAGTAAATTGATCTCTTTCGTGTATATATCGAGAGGCACATATCATAGAAGTATGAATTACAAGTATGAGGGTTCGAGTCAGCAATTTCAAGATCGAGACATATTGCATTGCATTCGCATATATACTTTTACTAGGGGATTAATCATTTGAGAACTTCAAAATTTGTGAGATCTATGAGAACTCTACCTTAAAGTGTTGTTTCACATATTTTTTCTGGCAAAATATATGATTTAATGTATTGATTAACATATATTTGTTTCACAACATGTTTGTTTCATATGTATCCGGTTCATAATGTGAAATTTTTTTACGCGTACTTTTTGTTTTACAAACATGTAAAAGGTGTTTACATTGTGAACCGAGTACATGTGAAACAAACACATTGCAAAACAAATATATGTTAATTAATATTCTAAATTATAGTCTTAAACGCAAAAAACATCATGTAAAATAACACGTTAGGCACAAGTTCTCAAGGCTATCACAATTCATAAGTTCTCAAAAAAAGGTCCCTTGTTTTATATGTAATAATTTACTTCACTAATATAAATCGGTACTTATAATTATTAACATGTAAATATGTGATTTATGTGTAATTATTTCAAACATTTAATGAAAAATGTATTGAATTATCATATACTTTTCATCCAACCTTCTTTTTGATGTCAAATGAATTTTACTTAAAAAAGCCTTTACTAATTTTATACGGTATAAAATGGTCAAAACAGTAATTTGGTATTTGTTATTTTTCCTTTAATTATATATATATATATATTAGTTAATTTAATTAAATTTGATATATAACCTTTTTAGAAGTTGCAATACCATTTGTATCTGTATTATATAATATAAAGAGGTTTGAAATTAATGATACCTTTTTTAATGAAATTGTGATAAAGTGGCTTATTTTCAATACATTTATATTCTTGGACACCCACCATTCACCTTTTCCTACTATTCTCCCTTCTTCATCAATGCTTATGTAATTATTTCAACCTTTTTTAAAAAATAGTCCCTTAACTTATTCCAATATGCATTTTGACCCTTCTATTTCTTTTTATTTCATCATGTAGCCCTCATGACTCATCTTCTTTCACAAATTGCAAACCATACAAGGGCAATGACAACTAATAAAATTCACTTTTAATGAATTTTATTTTTATTCCTATATAGTGTGATGAAGTATATTTCTTCCCTCAATAATGTAACAAATCTTCTATATTTCTTACTCTTTATCAGTCTTAATTGATAACCTATAAATATCGTAACATTTAATGATGTATATGTTAAGTTATCAGTTCTGTTTTAAAACGTATGACATGAAATAAACTGTCTAAATTTTTAATTTCCTTTTTTTTATGTGAGCTGAAAGGGAAACCAATTTAATATCTATAGGAAACTTGAAAATGTGTTACATCGATTGATAAGAAAAATTATTTATTACAGCCAACAAAAACCAAACAATACTTTATTGTATTTTACCTAAGGAGACATTTGGTTTGATGAAATTGTTTTGGGGGATTTGGATTTGGATTTGGAAAATTTGAAATCTTACAATGGTTTTATAAGATTTGGAACGGAATTGAATTACGTACTTTATAAATAATTTGTAAAAACAAATTACAAATAATTATAAAAATAATTAATTTACCTTGTTATTAATTGATAATTGGAAAATTAACATTTTTAACATATTTTAAAACATAATTATATACAAATATTTTGAAATCCCTTAAAATTCCAACCACCCCATAGGATTGAAAATACTATGTTTTAGGGGTTTTAAGTAAATCCTAAATTTCAAATTCGAACAATTTTATAAATCAAATATGAAATTGAATGAATTTGAATTTAAAAAACAATACCTAAGAATATAGCATTTGATTTGAAAAGTATTTCAAAAATGATTTAAACGACCATCAAATGCCTAAAAAACGTTTTTATAAACAAATTTGAGAAAATTGTGACAAAATTAATATCACTGAAATCTTGTAGTGACAGGTGATGGAAAAATAGACACATTTAAATTAAAATATTGATAGCAAGTTTTATTTTTCAAAAGTAAACGTTAATTAAAGTAATTGTTTTGAAGAAAAAAAAACTATCGCAATTTATTGGTATCGTAAGTTATGTTGTCCATCATTTGGTATGGGAATGTAACCTGTTCTATTGGAAACTCGATGTACCTGATCTGACGGGATCGAGGATGTGTACGATCGTACGGGGCTGGTAACGTGGTCCTCACCTTGTCTCTGTATATTAAACATTATATTATTATTACTAGAAGTGTACTCGCGCAATGCTGCGAGATATATCTTGATTTTAATATTTTATTTTTTTATCTCAGTTGATGTTATAATATGGTATTATGTGATTTTGAGAAAACGATGATGCTTTATTTTTGAATGAAATATAAGTTTGAAGATATCATAAAAATTTGACAAAAATATGTCGATATTAGTATCAAATTAACTATTTAAAATTTCCCATTTTTTATGTAATTTTTTAATTCAATTTTTTTTATAATTTAATTTAGATACAATAACGAAGTAATTTATATTTGGTTTAATAATATAAATTTAATAATTATTTATTTTGTTAGAACTCGATAATTATGTTTATCCGCAATTAGTTATACGAATTCAAACATCGAGACTTAATTAGTTGTACTTATGCATAATTT